GCTGCTACCTAGTGATACACATAGACAATCTATTGCATCCATTACATTTGTTCTACTTCCATTTGTGGACTATTTACAGACTCTCCTTCGTACAATAAGCCATGCATTACAAATGCAGGTTTTAGAAGAAAGGATCCAGAACCACAAGAAATAAATTATCGTAATCACATCTTAAGAAAGGAGAATTAAAGACTGTCCTAAAATGTTACTAACTACCAGTCATATGGCTGGGGGAATGCTGGACTACAGAGATGATGATGGGACGATAGTTTTCTAGATGCAGTGGGCTGATAAAAGCCTACCTCGAAATAAATGATGATGACGATGATTATGACAAAATACTTATGTACGTCTATTGAATATGGCCGCTTATTCTGCTAGTCGGTCTAGTTCCTCTTATGATCAAGTTGCTCACCAAGATAAAGTCTCGCCCTCAAAGGGCGCTTCTCCAGAACCACGAGATATTCCGGTTGCTTCTACAGGGGAAATCTTCCACCCACACACAGCCCTTTGTATGGGGGGAAAGCTAGATACAATGCAAGAACGCCGTGTATCCTAAGCGCACCGTACACCACACTTCTGCCTCACTGTCACATATGCCTCGGAACTGTAGTTCACACTTTGCCTTAGGCACCATCAATCTTAGTCAGCCAGCCAGGCCACCCTGTTGCTTCCAGGGACAGGCAGGTGGAGGTAGGTGAGAGGACTTCGCTCTCAAAGTGCCACTGATCGTGCATCTTATAGGATTAAAATTTATCTGAAAGTTTTACAATCATATGATCTCGTAATTGTATAAAAACAGGCTGCAAAACTTTAATACTCATAAAAGGAAATCTGGTCAAGATTTTTTAGAATTTCAAGGTATACTGAAGATGTAAAAAAAGAGATAAAGCTTTCCATGTAAGTGGTAGTGGAGACCCATAGTGTTGTGAGACGTCGAGGTTCCCATATTTTCTAGACAATCGGCTCACAGATGGCGGTGAGGTTCTCAGTCTTATGCGCTGACCGCCCTTTACCCCCAGAAACGAATCCTGGTGATCATTTCTGTCAGAGGCCGAGTCGACCCCATGATCATAATGCGGCTGGAAGGATTAGGTCAATTGAAATATTAAATGATCTCTCCGAGAATCGAACCCGCAACCTTCCGGCTTGTTGCATATTACATGAACCGACTACGCTGCCACATGCCCCAAATTAAAGATGTAGGTTAAAAATATGCCATGTTGTGAATTCATGATTAGATACGTCGTGATAAACAATCGGGTTTAAAATGCACCTCATGCGTTTAGATATTTGGGCCTATATTTCTGTCATCAATACGAAATTAAAGCCACGTAAATTATTTTCGTACGGACAGGAAGCTTCCGAAAATTTGTGATTTATGGAGACTGTCACAAACTCTATGAAAAAAGGAAGTGAAATAGAAAGAAGTTGAGATAGTGGCGGACAGCTTGCCAATAACCAGGACATAACCTGAAGGGGGGAAAACTGACAGTAACGCCAACCTTCCGAATTCTAGATGAGAATTTTGCCACGCGATTTCCTCTGAATGCTCCTGCTTAGGTCTAGTCTGTAACACTGGGCTGCAAGAAAGAGAACGGTTGAATAAATTGTATTCCAACACCTGGGACTCTTGTGATTTAGTCTCACGAAGGAAATTTGCCAGATATGCAGTCGTGTATTCCGATTGTTAATGTACCCACAGCCCAGATCCATTTGCTGATTTTTTTTTGTTTCTGTAACAAAGGAATGTGAGATATTTAATTTTGTGACGTGTGTACTCATTGTTAGGTAACGACTCCGTAAACACATTTCCGTGCGAGCCAACGCGCGCAAGAATAGTACGTCCATTTCTATGTAACGAATCAGTCGCCTCCTTAAAATAGAGACTGTGTTTTCCGTGGGATCGTGCAAAGTGGTTGTAAGGATGTGTTCAGCAGTAGAACCAGAATAGTCGAAAAAACAGAATCGAGTTCGTGAAGCCAGACTGCCGGGATATAGGCTTAGAATTGAACCGAGTTGGCACTTTCAAAATAACAGCAAGAAAGGAACTAGGCTGTGAATTGAAGACTTCATATGTGGTTTGAAGTGACAATGAGACTGTTATAAATCCGCTGCTAGGACAAGACTAGTGAGGAATGAGAATCATAGAGCGTGAACGGTGAACTGGAAAGTGTGTAGACCAGAGATGGCGTTGTAATTAACCGTAGTCCCGAGTTGTGAATATATAAGGTGCAATAAATCCAATTATCCAATCCAGCACCCGTCTTATAAGACACCCTTACAAGTGACAATATACTACATACCAGTCTTCTCCTCTGCATCCCTGCCTACGCTACTCTAATTTCAAATATCCTAGGGATTGATAATCGTCATTAATCGGAATGTATTTTTGTTTCCAATTTTTCAAACAACTTTAAGATTATAAGAGCGACATCATCCGGTTGTAATGCCTTGTATTCCGATGAAAATCAATGGGCGTTTCGGGGAAACTTTCTCCGTTTTAGTTTCTTACTTGGCTTATTCTTCGACTCTGCTATTCTGCAACTTCAGTTGATTTTCAACAGACTCCATGGCGTTATATCCCAGAAGATAGACATCTCCATAACTATCAGCCTCAACTTACCTCAAATCTTACTTTCAATATCTTCTATTATGTATAGTTTTGCCCGTGGTTCTGTATGAGTATGAAACTTGGTGCCTGACATTAAGGGAAGAACACAGACCGAGGATGTGTGAGAACAGGGAGTTGAGGAGGATATTTGGACCAAAGAGAGATGAAATGATAGGAGTTTGGAGAAAACTCCATAATGAGGTGCTTCATAAATTTTACTCTTCGCCAAATACTGTATAATTAGAATTATAAAGTCAAAAAGGATGAGATGAGCAGGGCATGTAGCACAAATGGAGAGAAGAGAAACGCATATAGGATATTGGTGGAATATCCCGAACGAGAGAGACCAGTAGGAATACCAAAACATAGGTGTGTGGATAATATTAAAAAGGGATCTTAGAGAGACAGGATGGGATGGTATGGACTGGACTGATTTGACTCAGGATAGGGATCGGTGGAGGGCTCTTGTGGACACGGTAATGAACCTTCGGGTTCCATAAAATGCTGGGAAATTCTTGAGCAGCTGCACAAGTGGCGGGTCCTCAAGAAGGGTTCAGTTCCATGAAGTTAGTTAGTTAGTCAGTTCGGTAACGTACGGTTACAGATGATGTTTAATTCGAAATATCAGCAAGTTGCCTTACTGAAATTCAGTTTCTTGAATCGTGAATGTGGTACAGGTACAATGACACGAGTTTTAAAGCTTTACTCTGTCTGTCAGAAACGGTTTCCTCGAATACCGGTGAGTTCATTAATGCTAACAGGATATGCCCCAACTTTTAGGCAACACACATTACGTGAAAATTCAGTACATGGTTGCGTTGTTGTAAATAATTGTCGCTCTTCATCCCTTTCTGTTTCTATCTCGCTCTCGCTTACAACAGAAATGTAATTTGTTGTCCAGTGCTGCCCCCTATCTGGATTGTGTGATTTATTTCCACAGAAAGCATAATGAAAAATTTGTGTATCTGTATTTCTCTGAATTTCTATAATTTGATATTATTTAAACCTAAAAGTTTCTATTGTACTTTCGTAAACACTTTGCTAAATTAATCACGGTTTACTCCTTCCAAAATAGTTTTCGGCTAGGAATGAATCGATGGAGTGGATGGATGGATAATACGTGTATTAACGAACAGATTGACACGGCAATAACGGTCTAGAATTGCATTCGTCCGGAACAACCGTTACTCTGACTGAGATTTACTGTGCTTTTCTCCAGTCGATGCAGGACAATTCAGGGGTAGTACCTGGATTAGGCCAAGACTGCTTCATTTAAAATTATTTCAAATTCATCATTCATCTGTCATACAATCTGTCGTATTGTAGCCTCAGAACTGAAACAGCGTAGTTAAGTAGCGGACGGAAAAGTGCAGAAGTGTAGCAAGCACTAGCCTGCTAATAAAAGAAGGCGAGGCAAGTGTTGGGTACAAGTTGTCGACCTTGACCATATACTGCTCATTTAGAGACACATTGAACTTCAGTGCATCAACATCAACGATAAGACTCGGCCAGATATCATGCCGATATCTTCAGGTTGCGCAGTAGGCCTAAACATAGGCGTACCTTCATATACCTTTCCTCAAATTTCTTTCAGTGTACGTCATACCTTGAGTCGCAACCTAAAGATTATAGACTTGTAGGTGCAACAATTCCAGCAGGGCAATTTTGGGTCCCATCGCATGTTGAAATCAGAGTATTCTTCCTGATGCCGATGCAGCGGTCTACATTACTATTTCACAATGACGGTAAATCAGCCTCTGTGGTCTAGTAGTCAGAGTTCCGGGCTACAAATGCAGAGGTCCCGGGTTCGATTCCCGAAGTAGTGGGTCTAGAACGGTATCCACTCAGCCTCGCGAGGTAAAATGAGAGGGTATTTGAAAGGAAAAGTAACGGCTCCGGTCTAGAAAACCGAAATTAGCGACCGTGGGGATTCGTTGCGCTGACCACGCGACATCCCTATCTGCTAAAGTTGGCACTTCACCGACAAGCGGCGGTCGGTCGGTCAGTATAGTTTGCTTATGGACTAAAACCACGGAGTTTATAGAATCAACGATGCTCCAGACCCAAATTGTCTCACATTTTTGAGTATAGCATGCCACACAAAACTGCACAGCGTAATGAACCGCTGTGTTAACTTACAGTAGAGGAAGGATCTCGATGCTCATGCTGTACGAAATTTGAGGTTAGTCTTTTAGATATTTAGAGACGTTTCGGAGGAAAGAGATGTTTCCATCTTCAGGGAAACAGCACAATTACCTGAAATGTCGGTAAACATCTACCAAACTTCAAACTGTCACATTTTATGAGGTGGAAATTCTTGGTATGAATGTATGTTCTATTCACTCCATTTTCTGTAAATTATCTGAAGGCATATTTCTTTTTACAGATTTGTTTGTTGGCCTCATCAGCGTTATGACAGATATCATTTGGAGGATAACGGTAGCCTGGAACGCCGGCAACGTAGCGTGTAAGCTCATTCGTTTTCTTCAGGTAAGCTGGTATCCATGCTGGTCTTAAGGAGGCGCTGCCAGAGCCGTAGCCCCGGAGCGAATTAACAATTGAAACCACAGATTTTATTGAGACACTTCCTTCTCTAGAACCACGAGAATTTAGTTTGCATTTTTAGTTATTACAAGAAACAAGAAAAAATATCAGAAATGCCGTAACCTAAATTAGTTTTTAATGATAGGGGCTTCCATATTTTGATATATCCGGGACAGTCACAACTCTAGATCCGGCCAACGTTTGCATAGACAGATGTTTAAATTGTGATTCATTAGATAATTAGACCGTATTTAAAGATTAATTTAGGCTTTCATGATTTCGCAACATTCAGTGTTGAAGTTGCTCCAACGCCTCTACTAAGGGCTGCGTGGAACTTCAGATACCCCACCCTTATTTCTACTGCGAGACTCATATATTGAGCCGCATTCTCCTTCCGCCTAACTCGTCCTGAGGTTCGCGACTCCTGCGTACTGCGAAACGTTAAAATAACTCAACACACGAATAAGATAATCAGCGAAATCCTAAATAAACACACATCTGACGTATTACCAATAAGATAAACGTATAAACATCGTAAAACACATGTCTCTTTATACAACAAAATTTAGCAGTGATTTTACTAAAAAAGACTAGCAAGGAATGTATGTACATATTTAAGTCAGAGGTGTCAACACTTCAGACGACCCTCCTGCATCCATCTGCGGGAAAGAAGATACTTGTATCCCAAGTTATATGGCGTCATGTCCCAGAAAACTGTAATCGTGACAATCAGGGCCCGGATTTTGATGACATGTCATCTTTTTTTCCTTGTATCCTATGCGATGCCCTTAAATATATAAATCTCGGATATGAGCTGCTGGTTACGGAAATGAAAATTTTATAGGTAATTTTTTTGACATTTTTAGGTTTAAGGTTTTTTTTTTTATTTTGGGGGTAATTCTTTGTTAAATTTTAGGACTTTTAAGGGTATTTCTTATCATTTTTGGCCATTTTAAGGAATTTTTCTTCATATGTTTTCTGAAATGTGAATAACATGGAAGCGAAGTGTTCTTTCTTTTCTCCTTTAGGTAACTTTTCTGGATTTTTCGGTCATTTTATAGGTCATTTTTTAATACTTTCAGGTCATCAAAATCCGGTCCCTGCCTATTACATTTTTGGGTCATATTTTATGTAATGTTTCTGGACATTTTCGGTCATTTTATAGGTTATTTTTTAATATTTTCAGTTCATCAAAATCCGGGCCCTGGTGATAATAAACTCTGTATGAACCTCAAATTTGACTTTGTAATTCCTTGCCGTGAGTAATACTGTTATGGAAACAACGCAAATTTGTGAGGTGGCAGCAACATTCGTAATGTTTCTCCAATTTCGTAGAGTAATATATGTTTAAAAAGTGTGAAATATTTATTACACAATCTCAATGAGGAAAGTGAGAATTAAGTGTGTGGTGATAGCAGATACATTGTGGCAACAGAGGCCACTAACGTGATCAGACTCTGCACTGACAGCTGTAAATATTTTCATTGTGAGTACATTTTAGGTTCTATATTACAGTGCCATAAGAGAAACTTCTAACATTTTGTATTACAGCTTATGCGCTTCCTGACATTCTGTCCTCTAGAATCCCTCATTAAGTATTTCCTATTTCTTTCAGTTTGCAGAGCGTTTGACTCATCAAAATAGTACAGTTATGTAAAGGAGCCCTTCTTGACGTTCTTAACATTGCTGTCTTTTGTTTCATGCTTCAGTGTGTGGTCACGTACTCCTCAACATACGTCCTGGTGGCTCTAAGCATCGACCGATACGATGCCGTGACACATCCCATGAATTTCTCCGGAAGCTGTAAGTCTATTTCAAAGCTACATTACTCAGAACGTTCGCGTTAATGCAGATACTGTCTTTATTCTCCTAAGCAAAGCACAAGACCGTCGTTTCCAGATATCCGTTCATATTCTACAAATATTATAAATTACTTTCGAAATATACCAGAGTTTTTCAGGTAATATTGGAATTAAACGGATAGCGTAGTCGGTATAGCGACTGACTGCGGGCTGGACAACCGAGGGCTGGAGTTCGAATCTCAATAGGGACAAGAATATTCTCAACGTTGTCCAGACCCGCTCTGTGGCCCACCAAACCTCCGATCCAATGGATACCGGGGTCTGTTTGCCCTGGGGGTAAAGCGGAACGGGCGTGAAGCTGACCACTCACCTCAAACTAATGCCAATGTGAAGAAAATGTGGATCTATACATCCACTCCCCCATACAACTTCACGGCGTGGTGGCATATCGTGTCCTTCATCGTGGTAGCGATTGAGATGCTGTAATGCCAGACCCATTCTTTGCATTTTGTGTTGTGGGGTCAGCATGCGCGACACCCATTGTGCACAGACTTTGTGAAAACCTAACCTGTCATGCATCATGAGGTAGGCCATGCCGTGTGAACAACCAATAGCAGTGGCTGTAGTGTCTATAGTTACCCTTCTGTAAGATCGCGCCATAGCTCAAGCGGTTAGTCGCTGGCTTCCCACGGCCGCGGCCCGGGTTCGATCCAGGGTCTGGTCAAGTGGGATTTGTGGTGGACGAAGTGGCGCTGGGGAAGATTTTCCGAGTACTTCGGTTTCACCTGCCAATCTTCATTCCACCAACTGCTCCACAATCACCCTCACCTATCATCTGAGGCTGGTACAATAGGCCAGAAGTGGCCGCAGTACAAGGGAAGTCCCACCCCACTAGCATTAAAAAAATACCCTTCTGTAGGGAAGTCACCGCCTGGTTCCTACAGCAGCCCAAAGAATTTTATGCTGCTGGTTTTCAGGGGCTTGTGAAACGATGGGACAAGTGCCTCAATGTACAGGGAGATTATGCTGAGAAATAAAAGCATTTTTCAAATCAGTATTCTTATTTAAGTTCTATATCCATTTGTAACTTACTTATTGACTTACCCTCGTATATAAAACTTGATAAGCCTGTTGCGTAATAATATGTAGAATAATCTGTTGATGTATTCATCAAAATATTTTAAGACATTTTAACAAATGATTTAAAATTTACAAGGATAATTCAATTGGTACGGATCAGAACAAAATTTTATCATTTTTCGGTATAAACATCCGATGTTAAATTTAGTCTAAATCCGTTTAGAAGTTTAGGACAAAAACATACAGATGGATGAAAATAAAATTTAAAATTTTCAGAAACATCTCCATACTTGCATTCACTGCATATATATATGTATATATTATGTATAGTCGGTATAAGAATTTCTGATGTAGAAACTTATCCCGTATGTCTCGAAATTGTGTGCCATTTCATATAGGATCCTGAGGGCATAAAATAGAATCAAAATGCTGAATATTTTCATATATAAATTTTACAGGGATAGCTTTAGTTTATTTGTATATGTATAAATTGGAGCTATATTTGTATAATTTATATATGTAAAATATTCGTAGGATATTTTGTAATTTTGATGTTTGTACCTTACCAATTTTTAATTCTCTTATCCATGTTCTCCTCGAAACATAGATCCTATCTTTACTTCTGAAACACACTTTAGAGCACGCGGTGTTCTTGTCATTAGGGAGACGCGCCCGTCTGCTAGTTACCGTCGCGTGGATCATCAGTGCCGTCTTCTCAGTGCCCATAGTAGTCCTGTACCGCGAGACGCCTATACAAGGTAAGGAATGCAAGTTAATTCCAGCCAGCTGTTGGTTCTCACATCCCACAGCAGGGCACCTCCCGTGACGGATAGCGATGTGCGAAACTGTCAGGTCAATTTAGCATCAAAGTGAAAACAGATCTGGAGCAATGACGAGTTTTTCAAATTGACTTCTAGATCTGTAATTCTGCACCTTAATGGACTTAGGTAGTCCACGACTTTCACGCGGTGCATAAAGATTTTGTACCAAGCCACAAGGAACGGTTCTCGCTTAGTATGTTCATCATATGAGTTACATCAGCCATCTTGTTAAAACACAACAAGACAACATGTCATCTGACGTTAAGCCCTTTAAAAATTAAAATTTTTCGATCGTTAAGGGGTGGAAGTAAGCTGAAACAATAGGACACTACTACAGGAGTCCCTGTAGAGGAAAGGATAAAAGTAATCCTATCTTAGGATCAGTGTTTCTTTTTGTTCATGTTAAAATCGCAACAATAATTCATCCAGACAGACATACAGTATATTTATAATACTCCTGTCAAATACCAAACTAGTTCATGCACTGACTTTTTTATGAAGAGGCTTCTATTCTGCAGGAGTACAGAGCTACGAACAATGCACCACACCACTAAAGTTGCTATCATTCAATTTATGCAGATGTCTTACAGATTAAATATTTTATGACTTTCTTAGTTTTGTACGTTTTATCAGCTGTGTTTGAATTAAAGCGGAGCCGGCATAGCTCAGATCGTACAGCGATTGGACTACCGGCTAGACGACCTAAAAACAAAGGTTTGATTCCTGGCTCCGGCAACATGATTTTTTATCTTTTCACAGAGTTTAGGCAGGATATGGAACACGTCCAGAATCCTGTAAAATGAGTGCTGAGGGCTGTTTCCCAGGGAGTGAAGGGGCAGGGACGTAAAGTTGACCACCTCCATCTATTGCCGAGGTCCAGAATAGTGGAGCTCTATCTCCACTACTCATACGCTTTCAGGGCGTAGTGTTTAATTAATTAAGTAACTTTATCTCATTTGAAATATAATATTTGTATTAATACTGAAGTTTTATATTAAATACTTAGGCCTATTCTACAATTTCAACAACTGTAAACAACATATATGTAACATATACATCCCTTAGTAGAGACTATAGAACATGTGTTATGACGCGATGATTCAATATAACATGCACCTAATTTGAAATTATTCTAGAAGTGGTGGGGGGTGGAGTCCAGCTGGGTCCGCTCGGCACGGCGGCCATGATTGGTCTACTGTACCTGCCCCGGGTGATTATGGTGACGGAGAATTTGGTGGAATGAAGATTGGCCAGGGAAACCGAAGTACTCGGAGAAAATCGGCCCAAGCGCCACTTTGTCCACAACAAATCCCACTTGACCAGACCCGGGACTGAACCCGGGCCGTCGCGGATTATAGAAGTGACCTTTTACACAATGTCGCAAACGAGTGGCTAGAATTCTCGCTTCACAATCGAAAGGTCTCACTTTCCACTATAGATCCGAAAGCTGGTTATTCTGGCTAATTTTCTTCGTGAATTTCCTCAGTCACCACAATTAAATGTATGGATCTGGTCTTAAAACAGCCAAACCCGCTTTCTTCTATGTATTTTCCAATTGATCATTCAGTCTTCCCTTCATTAGAACCGGTATAATCTACTCAGCTGAGGTAGCGATATTAAATAAGGAGGAATATAGGCACGATCCTCGGTTTACATATATATTCATTGGCAGAAATTATAGCTATATTTACACCTACTGTATGTCACATCGTCCAATTTAAATATTTCGGGTAAGCGTGGTTCGGGGTAATGACAGCAAACGGATGGTGTAATTAAGATGGCTCGTCACTTGAAAAAAAAAAAAGACGAAAAGAGGTGTTCGCGCAGTCAAGAGATGCGAGAGAAAATTAATGATCTGTGTTTACACGTGCGGTTTTTGCCACCGAACTGTCGGTGTTTAAACATCATTAATCAACCTCAACACTATTATCCGAAAAGAAGCAGCACCTGAATATAACAGCCGAAAATTACGAATAATAAACAAGATGTTCAGCATGTACTGTCTTCGCTCGCTTGGAAACCGAGATCTTGAGTTCGAAACCCACTCAGGGCATGGATGTTTAGTTTGTGTGTGTGCGTTTTTCTGTGTTTGTGTACAGGTAGAGGCCTTGCGACGAGCTGATCACCCGCCCAAGGAGTCCTACCGAATGTTTAAGATCTAGAAAAAAAGAAGTGAACGAAGATGTTCATGGAAGTAGGCCTAGGCCCACTGGGGCTGTAGTGCCAAGGAAAAAATGAAACAAAATACAACAAGATGTTCTCGGAAGAATTTGTGACGGCTTTTCCTTCAAATGCTTCACTCTATACTATCTGATTAGCAAGAATTATAAATTAATATTTAGAACTATGCACTTCAGTAATCAGTTTTCTGCAATTATTTTATTATTACATGCTCCTACTACCGTGCATAATCAAATACAACATAGAACTTTCTCATGGGCAACATTTTTGTAATTATTAATACATAAAGAAATGTTTAATACATTATTTTAGGTCTAGCTCCGCAAATCGCATACATAACTGACGATTCATTAACTCTAGCCATCAACGAGAGAACGATGTGTAGGTTTCGCTTTGTCGCTATGTTACAGTTTCACATTCCACAAAATATTTCCTTGATACAGTTTTTATATTTTTCGAAAATTAATTATCACACAAAACTACAGGTTTATACGGTAATACGTACGGTAAAAAGGTCGACATTTCTGCAGCCTCACAAGTTAGCACGGTCTTCATGTTTGTAACGGTGATTATGGGGACTTAAGGTGGTCAGGCCTCTAGCGGCATGACAGCCATACCACGTTTCGTACCAATCCGTGAAGTTTGTTCAAACGTTATTCAGGAGGGAAAATGATAAGGCACTAAATATAATGGAGCCATAATCATGTTATTCCTTATAAAATGTGGAAATGTGCTAAATTGGAGTTCTATTCAATTAAATTCTAGTTCATTTAAATGTCATTATATTGTCACATGTTACTGGTTTGTTTGTGCTTTATAAGATGGGTTCTGAATTGGATGATTGAATTTATTGACACCTTATACACGTAACTCGGAACTACAGGCAATTACAGCGCTATCGCTGATCTACACATTTTACAATTCACCGTTACACACGCACCAGGATTTTCAGACTTCAGTAGCCGTATCCTGGCAACGGATTTATAATGTTCTCACTGTCACTCCAAATCACACATGAAATATTCTTCTCGTAGTCTAATTCCTTCCCTGACATTTCTTCCCATTCGCCTTGGACTGTCATTTCCATAACTGCAGCCAGTGCTTGACAACAACTGGCTCAAATGAACTCTTCTTCAACTGAACTCTGTCAGCTTCTGACAACTAACAACTCAAAGTCAGAGTCACATTGCGACTGACGATCAGTCAGTCAGTCAGTAAGTCTTGGTATCGAGCACCTTCCTGGGGCTCATGACCAGATATTTATTACTCCTCGTCAGTTACGATCTTCTTTCTGTGGGGCACCCTCTCTGACGAGAGGTGGGTCTGTCTTTTGTATATGCTGCTGGTCCTTTCCAGCGCAGTCTTTCTAGGGTCCTAATCCTTTGGGACTTGCGACCATATTTTACTCTCTCACATTTGAGACTGGTAGTTGTTTGTTGAGTCTTCGCAGAACATGCTGACTTCATCTTTGGGATAGAGGAGTAGAAAGAATATGTTCCTCTACCCTGAAGACGGAGGCTGTACTTTCCTCCTTGACGTCAGTAAATATCAGCCACACCACATGACGTCACATTGAAGAAGAGACACGTGACACCATCTTTCCGCAACTAACAACTCCCTTGGAACTTCCCGTTATATAGTCTCCGGACGGATCCCACGGAAAACGATGTCTTCTATTGCCCCGTATTGTTTGGGACGTGTTTACTGATCCGTTGCCTAGCAATAGACGTTCTATTTTTGCGCGCATTGGCTCCCGCGGGGATATGTTTGCCGGATCGTTGCCTAGCAACGAGTTTATACGTCATAATATTATTTTCATTTAGTAAAATTTGCACCTACGGTATCCTGAAATTTCGGCAAAAACAGTGATCTTGTTTCGATATGATCCTGATGAGTGAATGTAACATCTGATACACGCTACAGTTCGAAGTTCCATCTGCTCCCATTTTCAAGTGACTGGGTGCTAATTTGCCGGCAGCGCTTCTTCAAGCGTTTCCCCGTTCCTGTATCAGATGTCGGGATGGAACCCAAGCGTAATCGGGAACTAATCTCCTAAGAAAAACTCTGATCTAAATTATTAATAAGACAGCATCCATCTGTAATTAAAAAGCGGGCCGTGGTCTAGCTCAGGTGACGCTGGCTTCTTACTGCGGAGACCCGGGTTCAATCACGACTGACTTAAAATTAGATCCGTGGTTAAAATGGTGACAATAGAAGTTTCTTTTTCTATTTTCTTTACTTCTTTCCTGCCAATCACTTACTTAAACCGTTCCTCTTATACCTTTAGGTGTCGAGGGTGTTTTTTTTCCATTTTGACCATTTTACAGGCTGTATGGCTCCTTAGGCGAGTGATCAGCTCGTCGCAATGTCTCTACCTAAACACAGAATAAACACATTTTTTTTTCCTTGGCACTACAGCCCCAGTGGGCCTAGGCCTACCTCCATGAACTCCGTTCGCTTCGGTTTTTCTAGATCTTACACATTCGGTAGGACTCCTTGGGCGGGTGATCAGCTCGTCGCAAGGCCTCTATCTGTAGACGAACACAGAAAAACGCACAAAACATCCATGCCCTGAGTGGGATTCGAACCCGCGATCCCGGCTTCCGAACGAGCGAAGACAGTGCATGCCTTAGACCACTCGGCTACCGTGACCGGCTCAGAATAAACACATACGCATACCAAAACATCAATGCCTTGTGTGGGATTAGAACTCACGATCCCGGCTTCCGTGCCAGCGAAGACAGTACATGCCTTAG